TCTTTAAACAAACATCCAGAGCACCCCCCTCCCACACCTGACACAACACTCCCACACTGAACATCCCAGCGGATCAATCGGCCTTTTCCTCTCGGAATCCTTCGTTTTGAAGATGGAAAACACGAGAATGGTGAAGTTACATCACAGATGTGGAAACAGCCCCCAGCTGAGCGTGGCTGGAGCTTCCACTGCTGCTCCCACCACTCTGCTCTTACCAGAAACAACTCCCCCTGACCCCATTCTGTCTGCAGCACTTTGGGGATGACAGAGAGCTCCTGCCTCCTGCAAAAACACAGCCACTGGAAGGGGGATCTGCAGTTCATTGCCCCTCTGGATATTTCCCCACTGAAAGCAGAGGATGAGGAGGCTGGAAATGAAAGATGTTCCTCCAGGAGACTGAACAGGAACACTGAGGAGGGCTCCTTGGATTTGTTTGTTTTTTGCTTTTGAGTTCACAAAAAGAAGTAAATTCAGGCATTAAAAATCCTATTCTTTCAGTTCAGGCTTATTCCCAAAAATACAGTGGTGGAGGGGAGGTTATTCTCATGTTCTTGACCAGCAGGAAATGACAAAAGGAGTTTTCTGTCCAGCTCCTGTGTTTTGCTGATGCCCTTTGGGTCCTTTTCAGGACTGAGGACACTCAAGGATGGGTTGAGCCCAACCCTTCCTGTCCTCAGGAGGAATTCTGTGTCCCCAGATAGGGAAAAATGCAACTTCCAACACTTCCATCCACCATTTGCTACGGTATAGAAAGTATATTATAATTTTATGAACCAATCTGGCTCTCAAACAGGAGCCCAGTGAGAAGGGGGGCAGTTTGAAGAGCCCCAGCACACGGAAATGCAGCTCCAAACCCTGTCCCGCTCCCAGGAGCACCCGGAGCGACCCCACTGGATCCATCTCGAGCTGCCAGGATGTGACAGAGCCTCCAGCCAGGGAAATGAGGCCCCTGATTTCAGTCACTGATGAGCCCTTCCATCAGGGATTAACCTGGGGCAAGAGGAACTGCAATAAATCCTGGGGAGAACGCTGTAATCACACACGTGGGGCCTGACAGGACAGGAATAGGCAGCGTTTTCCGAGGGGGAAGAGCCCATTTCTCCCACCTCACCTCACCCTATCATTAACTGCTGCCACCTGTCCCTTCTCCAGGCTGAAAGGAAAGGAAAGGAGGGTACAAAGACACAGCCAGAGCTGCTCCACCCCGACAAGCTGGGTGATGGATGAGCCAAGAACGCTCCAGCACATCCAGGCTCCAGTCCATGCAGCTCAAAGCACTGGGGAAGATGATCCCAAGCAAGGGTGGGCAGATGCTGAGAGACACACAGGGCCTCTTTCAAGCTGAGGCAAGAGCCAAGGATTTCAGATCCCCTGTTCCTCCTGAGCCCCACCTGGAGTGAGGCACCTGTGGGGGTGGGCACACCCAGAACCCCCCGTGCCCTGGGCTGGTCCCACAGGGATCGTGGGCAGCAGGGCTGGGGGGATCCTGCCCCTCTGCCCCCTCAGCTGAGACCCCCCTGCAGAGCTGCCCCAGCCCTGGGGAACAGCAACACAAGGACGTGGAGCTGCTGGAGACAGCCCAGAGGAGGCCACGGAGATGCTGCCAGGGCTGGAGCCCCTCTGCTCTGGAGCCAGGCTGGGAGAGCTGGGGGGGCTCACCTGGAGAAGAGAAGGCTCCAGGGAGACCTTGGAGCCCCTTGCAGGGCCTAAAGGGGCTCCAGGAGAGCTGGAGAGGGACTGGGGACAAGGCATGGAGGGACAGGACACAGGGAATGGCTTCCCACTGCCAGAGGGCAGGGAGAGATGGGAGACTGGGAAGGGATTGCTGGCTGGGAGGGTGGGCAGGCCCTGGCACAGGTTGGGCAGAGAAGCTGTGGCTGCCCCTGGATCCTGGAAGTGTCCAAGGCCAGGCTGGATGGGACTTGGAGCAACCTGGGCTGGTGGGAGGTGTCCCTGCCCATGGCAGGGGGTGGAAGGGGATGATCTTTAAGGTCCCTTCCCGCCCAAACCATTCCATGATATCTCCATTTATAAATTACTGTCACATAGCCAAAAACTCACACCTCCTTAACAACCTGAACAGATAATGCTCCTTTAGCATCACATTTCCCCAACTGTCTTTTTCTCTTTTAATCAGTTTTGCAGTGTTTCCATATTCCTTTTAAAACACTTACACTTGACCTGAGCCAAGGTTTTAGCAGTACCAAGTGAAACCTGGAAGCAGCATTGCTTTGGGTGGGATTAAGATCGTTTATGCTACTTTAGAAGGACTTTTCAGTGCAGTTCCACTCAGCAGTGCCAGCAGGGAAGGCCTGCAGAGACAGAGACAGCCTGGATCACACATGTGCTGCAACCTGAACCAGCTTTCATGGATCCCTCCCTGCAGAACCTCAGCTGGACAGACAGGGAAGCTCTGGGAAAACCCTGTTTGCTCCTGAGCCTCGGGTACATCCCAGGGTTGTGGGGATGGAGAAGCTCTGGAAGCTGAGAGCCTGAGGAGCTGCAGTGATGGAGACAAACATCAGCACCTCTCCTGGGGCAGCCTGCCTGCTCCCCCAGCCCCAGGAGAGGAGAAACACCCCCTGCCTTCCTGGCAGTGAGCAGAAAGAGGGAGAAGAATCCTCCTGCCATGAACTCCTGCAGAGCCTGCCAGGGGGAGCAAACTTCCATCCCAGCAGTCTGGGATGCCTGAAGAGGGATGAGGGAGCACCCTGGGAAGAGGCAGGTGCTGAGATGGGAGCAGAGACCACAGAGGATGAGCTGACCCGGGAGCTCTGCTGATGCCTCCAAGTCAGGGGCGTTCTGGCTTTCCAAAGCTTGGCTCTGGCCAGGCCTGGTGCCATTCCAGACCTCTGGAATGGTCTCACCTCCCGGGAAGAGCAAACTTTGCAGAGTCAGGTTGTTGCTTTGCTGTTTATTCCATGTTTATTCCGACGTCCAAGCCTTTGTGGGGATGGGATCTGCACAGGGTATGTGCTCCAAAGGTCTTCATCCCGAGTCACTGAGGGAAGGGTTATTTACCAGAAAACAGAAGAATTCAGTGCTTTGAAATGAGAAGTCACCTCTATTTCTCTGTAAGGTTTCCAAAATTCGAGCTGCCTGCAATTTCCTGGTGCCATTCCAGTCATGGGATCAACAGAATCACCCTTGCTGGGCGGTGGCTGTGGCCAAGAATCAGCCCCAAAGGCTGAAGGAGCCTGTTTTTGTCACCATTCAGGTTTTTGGATGCTCTCACTCAGCTCCCTCCCACAGAAGCAAGAGGCCTGAGTCAGCAAATGAGAATTGATTCCCAGGAATCCCTCTCCCTTCTCAGATAAAGAGGGAGAAGGTAGGCAAGGCCCTGCCCCAGGGGCACAGCTGACAGATGAGCGTGTGAGAGATGTATCCTGAAGGAGTTTCTGGGTGTTGACAAGAGAAGAAAGGTTTAAAGCCCCTGTTTTCCTCAGGTAAAATGCACTTCAGGATCAATACTGGCACGTGGCACAAAGCCAGTACTGGAATCCTCTCCTTTGCTCTTCAGTAATAAAGTGTTTGTTCCTGTGGGCTCTCCTTCCAGCTCAGCCAGGATTTGTGCAGACAGCACAGCAGACACAATGTGAGAAAGAACCCCTGGAGTGGGAGGAAGCAGGGCCAGGATGGGAACACATCTCTCCATGAGACAGAGGGACCTGTGCCATCCACCAGCACAGAAACTCACCCTGTGCTGGGAAGGGATGAAAAGCTGGTGAGCCAGAACAGCACAGGGTGACCCCAGGATCATCCCAGACACTGAGAGGGGCTCCAGGATCATCCCAGACACCGAGAGGGGCTCCAGGACCGCGGAATTCAGGGTCCTGTGAAGTGTGAATTACCCACTCTGGGTAAGAAAATGGGAAGAAAAGGTTAAATCATGAAGGAGAAACTAAGGAAGAGGGTGATTGTGGCCACCTGAAGTGTCCCTCCCGAGTCAGAGGGGACAGAGTTGGACCATTCCAGCCAGAGGATGAAGAGGCTGCAGGAGAACCCTGAATTCCTCCTGAATCCCAAGATGGTCTGGTCCCACCTTTCATGAGAAAGGGTCCTAAGAAAGGTTATCCCACACTTGTCCAACTGCATCTGGAAAGTGATGGGGACTCCCCACAGCCCTGTTTGAGGTGACACAGTTATTGCACATCTGGCAGTGCTGGCAGACACCCCAGGGAAGGATTGACAGGCAAATTTGGGGATAATTTCAACAGGGGCAGATAGAACCCACAGACATGACTGACTTGTTTTGTCAAGGAAAGCAGAAGGGAAGCCCATGGATCTTGGTTCTGTCTGCTGGAAATGCAGCTCTGCTTTGCCTCTGGAGCACCCCTGGCCACTGACACAGTGACAGTTGGGCTCCTCATTCCCTGCAGGAGCATTTACTCATTCACAGCTTTGTCAAGCACCTTCTCCACCTCGCTGTTCTCCCTTAGCAAGACAGGAAAGTGCAAACACACCATTCAGGGAGCTTTTTGCTCATGTACTGACCCTCATCTGCATGATAATTGACATAAATATCACTGATTAAACACAAACCCAAGTTCAACCCGACCCTAAACGCCTCTGGTAGGACATGGGGAGCTCCAGAGAGCTTTGGGAGCTGAGCTGTGTGTGGGGTGGAGAACGTGGGGCCACCACCACGTGGAATGTCCCCAGCAGAACAGAATCACCCTTGGCAAGAAGAGCAGCCCAGGACCAGAGACAACACGACCAGCCTCTCCCAGAAGAGCTTGGGAAGTCATGTTCCACTTAAAGAGGAAAACAAAACCCTCTTTAATGCTCTGCCTGTGTTTTCCCCAGTGGCACTCGTGCAATAACGTGGACTCAGTAAATGAAAATCACCCTGGAGAGAGCAGAAAGATTCCTGTGAGGGATTCCTGCTTTCCACTCTGCCCCACCCCTGTCCTGCAGTGCTTTGGGACGGATGAGAGGGGATGAAACGCTCTGGACCTCATCCCCTTCCCACAGAAATCCCCCCCGAGCTGCACAAGTACCTTTTGGTGGGCGTGGGCGCTCCCGAGGACACGTGGGTCACCATGGGCTCGTTCATGTTACTCACAGGCCGAGGAGGGCTGCAATGGAAACATCCATGCCTATTAGGGACTCACAAAAATGAAACAAAAACACAACCCAGCCCTTGGGAAAAGCCCAGCCCTGTGTCCTGGGACAGTGTCAGGCCGAGAGCAGCAGCAGGAACTGCTTCACCCAGTGGTACCTGAAGAACCTGGCCTGCTCTGGTGCTTCTCACAACCCCTGTTACACTAAAAAAACTCAACATTTCAGAGCACACAACTCACCTTTGGTGCTGTCAAGTAGTTCAAGCCAATGTAGGAACCATTCGAATTAGGGCAGTTCTTTCAAATGTTTAAAGAAATGAAGCCAAGATTTGTTACAAGCAGCACCCACTGATACAACCACCACACACACACCACCTGCTTGGGGTTCATTTTAACAAGATCAAGTGGGTTGGAATAAACAAATGGATAGAGCCTCGTGTTCCTCCCTGTCCCATAAAACCCAGCCATGGACTGATGAGCCACTTATGTGCATCCTTAAACCCCGAGTTTCCCAGTGCCAGGGTGCTGAGGCTGCCTCTGTGCTGGTGTCTGTGCAGGGGAGCCCACAGGGAATGTCCCTGGCCAGCTCTGCCTCGGGGTTTGAGCTGCTGGGACAGGAGAACTGCAGCAGCTCCAGTCATGGAATCAATACTTGCCTACATTTACCCTCCAGTGACACCCAAAGACAACCCCCAACCTTGGAAATGACACTGGAAGCCCATCCAGCCCCACCCCTGCCATGGGCAGGGACACCTCCCACCAGCCCAGGGTGCTCCAAGCTCCGTCCAACCTGGCCTTGGACACTTCCAGGGATCCAGGGGCAGCCACAGCTTCTCTGCCCAACCTGTGCCAGGGCCTGCCCACCCTCATAGCCAGCAATTCCTTCCCAATCTCCCATCTGTCCCTGCCCCCTGGCAGTGGGAAGCCATTCCCTGTGTCCTGTCCCTCCATGCCTTGTCTCCAGTCCCTCTGCAGCTCTCCTGGAACACGGATTACAATCCCCACAGGTTTGTATTTGCCATCACCTTTGCATTCACACTGCAGTTAACCCTGGAATTCATCCCCAGGAATGCCAGCTCCAGCTTCCTGCAGCACGAGGGCACAGAGGGAGCTCGACCTGTTTGCAGCCTTTGCCTCCCCTGGCATTCCCTGCTCAGCACCCTGATCCTGCTCCTCTCTTGGAGTAGCCAGGAACTGCCTTAAAGCTCCCCAGCTTGTTTCATTTAACCACTCTCAGAGCCCAGGAATCCAGGGAATCAAACAACCACTGAAAAAAACACCCATGGTAACGAGCAGTTAATTAACGGGGCTCTCCCTCCCCTCCTCAGCTCCCCATTTACTTCCCCTTGACCAAGCACCAGGAATGTCCCACCCACATCTGCAGGGCCAAACTCTGCTGTTCTCCCAAAGATTCCCTTCCCAGCTTCGCATCCTCCTGCCCCACAGCCCCCACGTGCAGCTCTGAGAGGAACACCTCCCACGAGCAGCAGCTTCTGCCACCAAAATTGTGTTTTCCAGCCACATTTCCATGGATGTTGGCTGGGATTTTCATTTGGGAGGGACATAGGATTTCCTTGAACACACAAAACACCTCCTCAGTGTTTTATAAGACTCTTCTAATGAGCCAGTGGATGCAATTCACCATTTGCAATCTGGTTTTAGCAGCATTTCCACCAGTTCCCTCCAGTTCTGCAACTACCAGTATCCCAAATTTTCCAGCTCAATCCTTGCTAACAGTGATAAAGGCAAAGGGAAAAATTAGGAACAGCTTTTTAAAGGTTTCAAGGTGGAGATTGGTCAAAGGTTGGGCTCGATGGTCTTGGAGGTCTGTCCTAACCTCAGTGATTCTGTGATTCCACCTTCTCATCAAGCCCAATAAAGCCTCTCCCAGGCCTGAGGATTTCTTGAGGCCATTTATCTATTTTTAGGGAATATCTTTTGAAAACATCTGTCAGGATGGCACCGTGTTTGCTGGTACAGCCACGACAGAAACATCGCCTTGATCATGAGAGCAGCAGGATGAAAACCTGAATTATTCATGGAACCAAGACACACAACAGCAGTGGAGCAGTGAGATCTGCTCTGTGTCAGATCTGCTCCTATGGCAGATCTGCCCCTGTGTGACATCTGCTCCTTTGGCCCTGCAGTGCAGCTCAACCCCACTTTACCAAAACTTCTAGTTTAAAATTCCCCTTCTGAGATGCTCCCAAGAGATGTGAAAACAAAACAAAACAAAACAGAACAACCTTTAAAATATATTAAAATGTTTAAATTAATTTTTAAATATTTAAATGAATATTTGAATGCAAAAGTATTTTGGAACCAGCTACGGAGGAGGGATTTTTCTGCCTTGAAAAGCTCACCAGAAATCCCAGCTATCCAGGCAGGAGGAATGGGAGTGATGGTCAGCAAACCCCAGCGCAGTTCTGGTCCCTGTCAAAGGGCCCTTTCCCAAACAACTCCTGGGAGGAGTTTGGGAGTGAGCAGGACCCAGGAACGGCTCCCAGTGAACAGTTCAGACTCTTGGAAGGCAGGAAACGTCCCCAGTGTGGATGAGACGAGTCAGAGGCCCGGGAACATCCCAAACACAGCTGCATGCAGAGCTTCCTTGAGGGCTCCTGTCCCGGGTTCTGCCTCTTGTTTTCCCTGAGTCTGACAGCTTTGCATGGGGACTGTGCCAGAGGATGGTGCTGCATCAGCAGCAAAGCCCCACATCTCAGAGAGGGAACACAAAACCACAGGGTTAACTGATGATTTGGGAATTTCTGAAGTTGCTTCCTGCAGTTGGGCATTGCAGGTGACAGAAACAGCGAGGCTGGAAGGGACCTTCTGAGGGCACCCAATCCCCCCTCCCTGCCCAGCTGGATCAGCCAGAGCAGGCTCCCCATCAGGATCCTCACACGCCAAGGATGGAGGCCCCATCACCCCTCCAAGCAACCTATGCCAGGGCTGAACTGCCCCAGAATCCCACATTGGTTTGGGCTGGAAGGGACCTCAAAGCTCATCCCATTCCTCCCCTGCCATGGGCAGGGACACCTCCCACCAGCCCAGGTTGCTCCAAGCCCCGTCCAACCTGGCCTTGGACACTCCCAGGGATCCAGGGGCAGCCACAGCTTCTCTGGGACTCCCCAGCCTCCCAGCCAGGAATTTCTCCATAACACCCAAATCTAAACCCAGGACCCAAGCACTTCCCCCGCTGTTCTGTTCTCTTTGCCTGAAGAGCTCCACAGTCCTTGGAACACTCGTGGAAGTCCATCAGGTTGGATCCCCACGTGCTTTGAGACTCATCAGCTCCGACGTGAGGAGGTCACAGCACACACTCGACAGCACCGAGCACTTTCTGTCCAATGTTCTCTCCCTCCTGAACAAATTCCATGCACTATTTAAGGGGAAAATTCTCTTCCTGTTATTTGCTGGGTGAACTCTTATCCTCCCAGTACTCCAAAACTATCATGAAGGAGGTGGAAATGAGGAAACAGCTTCTTTTGTGCAGTGTATATTATATAACCAAACTTCATAACTAAGGCCCTTTATTTATTATTCAAATCTAAATAATGATCTCCTGCTGCCTTTCCCCTCTCCCGAGTGCCTGAGGGTGCAGATCCAGGATCGATACGTCTGTTCCACGGGAGGCATCAAGGCAGGCCAAGGAAAGAAAAGACAAATATTGAAGAATGTGAGAGCTGATAATGGTAATGAAAAATAAAATTCACAACAGAAAGCAGAGGGGGGGGGAGGGTGGAATCAGCCTTTTCCACAGAATTAATGAACTAGGGACACAAACAGGCTTCATCCTGGGAAAACAGACCTTACTGGGGTCTGCAGCCTCCTCCTGAGGGGCAGCTCCAACCTCTGCTCCCTGGGACCAGGGACAGCCCCCAGGGAACGGCTGGAGCTGTGCCAGGCAGGGTCAGGCTGGATCTCAGGGAAAGGTCCTTCTCCAGAGGGTGGCTGGCACTGAACAGGCTGCCCAGGGCAGTGGGCACAGCCCCGAGGTTGACAGAGCTCAGGGGGCCTTTGGACAACGCTCTGAGGGACAGGGGGGGATTGTTGGGGTGCCTGGGCAGGGCCAGGACTGGATCATCCCTGTGGGTCCCTTCCAGCCCAGGCTATTCCATGAGTCCATGGCAAAATGACTGCCCAGGGTCCCTGGCAGGAGCTGGAGCACATCCCTGTGTGATGCTGGGACCCACCAGCACCAACCACGAGCAAAGCACAAAGGAGGTTCTGGGGGGCGAGGGGGCCCTGCTGGAATCACACATTTCGGGGGCTGCAGCTCCAGAGGGAGGCTGAAAGGCAGGGATGCCTCAGGGAAGAAGCACAGGGACAACTCAAAGCTGGAAAACGTTCTTTTCACTGAGAGACTCGTAATCCCAAACCTCCTCTTTAACGGCCAATTACGTGGTGGTTTGATGGCAGCCTGCACATAAATCTGATTTATTTCTAATAAAACCAAACCGCAGCGAACAAGCAAAGACAATGAAACCCGAAGAGCAGGAGCTGCAGGGAGGGAGGTGCAGGAAAGCCCCAGGACAGTTCCCATGGCTGGGACGAGCTCTTTAACTGGAAACTTTAAAGCTTTTCAGGCAATACCTTGTGTTTTTTTGTTGGTATTTTCTGCTTTGCACAGGAAGCTATTCAAAGAAATCTCCTGACCTCTGTTGTGTTTGTGGCTGAGGTCAAACATCTGTAGTGAGTCCCTCCATGACCTGGGTATCAGGATGTAACTGCAGGAGCATCTGTGTGGATGCTTTGAGTTCTTTTGCCCAAACTTGCGAGGGGAAAACTTCCAGCCAGGAGAAGTTTTGGAGACCTTTGTTTGTCATATCTATGGGATTTTTTTACAATGGCTGAAGTCAAGTGTGTGGCACGAGAAGATCCATCAGACACAAATGTAAGGATGCAGCATGTCCAGAGAAGGGAACTCCATGAAAAAGTGGGAATTTGTTGCCTGTTATTTCTGCTGTTAAATAAAAAGAGCCCGTTTAAAGTCCAAGGGCACGTCCAGCAAGGAG